CCCTACCACATTCCTTCCTGATGGCCTGGGGCTGGTTTCTGCCCCGCCTCCTTGCCTCCACCCTCCAGCTAACCTGCCCCTGGGATCTACTCTGGCAAACCCCAGTGTGGTCCAGTCCAGCTCCAGCACGACTCTCCCATCATCTGCTCTTCCTCCCCTGTTCAATGTTCCATTCACTGCCTGGGCCATGGCGACCCCCAGGGTTCCTCAGACCTGCCTGCCCAGCTCCTCCTCCATTCCCTGGACTTGTTCCAGTCCTTCCCTAGAAAGCCTCGGCCTCCTCCTTCACTTCTGGCAGGCCTTCCCTGAGGAACACACAGCAGGTTCGGGCCCCTCCCAGCCCTCCCAGCCCCTGATTATTCCCTTTTTTATTTACTTATTTATTACCATGTTTATTTACTTATTTGATATCTATCTTGTCACACTAGAATTTGGGCTCCACAAGAGCAGGGCTGGTTCCTTTTATCCCTTGCACAGTCCCAGTATACAACACTCAGTAAATATCTGTGGATCGAAACACATGATGGACGTTCACCCCAGCCCTGATTCAGTCACAGGAAGTGATCATCTGTCACTCTCAGTGGGCAGGCAGTTCTGAAGCCCACATATGAGGTCACTTGATGATGCGGGTGACCAAGGGGCTCAGAGAAGGCAAGCAGCTTATACGACAAGGTCACACAGTGACCTTAGCCCTGGGTCCCAGCAGGGGTTTATTTCTCCTATAGACACAATGAGAGGCTTGGCTGATGAGCCAGCTCCTTATGCCTTAATTAGCTCCCCTCAGGATGACCCCAGGGATCACTGTCATTCCCTCCAGAAATGCGGGGAACTTCCCAGACCACAGGAGAGGCGCCCAGAGGCCCTGTCGGTGTCTGTCTGCACTCAGCCTGGAGCTAAGGCTCTGTGTCACTTGGTGCAACCCTTTCCCTTGCTCCAAGGGTGTGCCCGTCGGCCATGATAACAGAATCGGTGGCTGTTGTGTCACTGATCAATGTCTCTTGACTAAGGGGCCCCTGAGGGTAGCCCAGGTTGATGAGAGGGACCTGCCAGATGTCAGGCCAGCTCTGAGAGGAAGAGGCGTTTCTGCCCTGCAGGAACCTGTGGCCGGGCCCTGAGCCAGACATGGACAAAAGACAGAGTAGAGAAAGGACTCTCAGTCCGGCTCACCTGGGTAAGGGTGGGTGGCTTCCTCTAAGTTTAGGGGCTCCCTGGTCAGTGACTGAAGAGAATCAACAGACAGGCCACTCAGCTTTGCTCATTTTCACTGGCTGCCCAGTCAGATCAGACCTAATCTGGTGTTTAGAGCAGTGCTCAAGGCCAATAAGCCCAGTGTTTTGAGAACAGTTGCCCAAAGTCGGCCTCGGGGGACTGTCTCATCCCAGGGAGTGGCATGTGGCTGTGGGAGGGGGCAGTGGACATACGTCCACCCAGGGGGAGAAGGGACTTTTTTCATTTAACCTATAGTCACCCTTGCTGTGGGGTTCCTGTCCCCACAGGACTGTACTGTCCTGGAGGGCCAGCTGTGCAAGCTGCTCCCTGGCTGACAGGAGGAAGGCCCTGTGCCAGATAAGCGTGAAGGGGTCTGGGGGAAGTGCCGGAGTGGAGGGCCCCCTGCAAGGGAAGGAGCTGGCTTTCTGGGGAGGCTGGTGGTGACCTGCAAACACGCCTACTGGCAGTTTCTCCCGGATGAACTTATCAGCCCTTTCATTCTGCCAGAGCAGCCAGACAATCTGCCTTCTGTTAAATTCAGACAAAAGAGACCCCTCCCTTGCCCTGACTTGGCTGGCCCTGCTTGCCAGCCCACTGCTGTAGGCAGACCTGCAGGCCTGACATTTGGGTCAGGAGCCTCCACCCTCAGCCAGTACTGCCCTTGTTCCTCTGCACTGGGCCCAGGGGAGGATCAGCAGCAGGAGCCTTCTTCCCTCTGGAAGAATCTGAGGCTGGATACTGGCCCTTGGTGCCTTGGAAACATGCCAGACAAAAATCCCCTAAGGACCTAGGATCCTAAGACCATAGAAAAGTTTGGTCTCTGTACGTGTCTGCTAGATTTTATCTGAGCTAGAACCAAGGCCTTGGCTTAAACACTATCAGCCCCAAGTAACACTGGAACGTGTGCCTTGGTGGGCCTTACACAGGACTTGGACCCTTGGGCATGACTGCCTACCAGGAAGTGAGGCTGGCAGCACCCCCCCGCCCCCCATTCCTTCCTTCAGGCAGGCTCTAAGGTGATGATTGTAATGTGGGACCAAGCAAATTGGCCTGTGGCCTCAAGGGCTCATACTTCATCCAGTGCGGGGGCAGACCTTGAGCTGATAATCTCCTTGGAGCCTCTGTTTGAAGGTCTAGGTGGAGGACGTGCTGGAGGCCTAAAGGGTGAGGAGAGTAGAGGGGAGACTATCAGTCCTGAGGAGCCCTACTCCCAGCCTCTTGCTCAGTCTTCTTCAAGTCCATACCATTTAGCAGCTGCTCTTGGGCATTCTCTGGGCTCCACTCTTGGTTTTTCTCTCCAACTGGCTGTGGCCTGACTTAAGGAGGCTTAGGCCCTGCTGGGGTTCCAGAGTAGCTCCCAAGGGTCACTGGAAATGTTGCGCTGAGCCCTAGGGAGGGATGTGCAGTTCTCCGGGAGGGAAAAGGCTTTGGTTTTTGTGGCTACAGAGAATACCAAGGCCTTGACTTTACAGCCCGCATCCAACCTAGGAGCCCATGAAGACAAATATCCACCTCCCTCTTTACTTTGCTATGGGCTCTGTGAGGGCTGGTTAGGCCCCAAGAGGTTGTTCCAACTCTGGCCAGCCAGTCTGCTGACTTCTGAGGCTTGAAGGAACAGGAGGTTGGGTGAATCTCAACTTTAGACCAAAAAGTAAAGCAAGCCAGCAATGAGGCCCAGGGCTCAGAGCTCTTCTGCCAAGGGTGGAGGGCTAAGGGAGGGGGAGGGCTTCAGGGCCAGCCTGGGGCCACAGCACCTCCAACTGACCCCCAAACCTGGAGAGGCAGGGACTAGATAAGATTCAGCTGTAAGGGCATCAGGCAAACTCTGGTTGTTTCTCCCTCCTTTCAGGATGAGGAAAGGCCTACCTCGCCTTTTGGTGCCAGCTAGTTGAGGTAGAGACTCCTTTGGCCAGAGCTCTGGGGTTGCTTGGGCATGAGGCACAGGGACCCTGTATGCCAGAATGTGGCCTGGTGACTCATCTAGCAAGACCAGTGCCAAAAAGGAAGAAGGGGTGATTCTGGCATCCATGGACGGTCAGCTTCTGTGCAGATGTTAGAAGGGAAACAACTCATGAGGCCTCTACCCCATGCTGTCTTTTGTTTGGGGAAAACATATGTATACCTATTCAGACACTAAAATCCCCAGCAGAGCCCAGGGTTGCCAAACTGGGCCTGCTGTGTTTTGGGGGGCAAGGGTGTGGGGGGAGACTCCATAAGCTGAAGGAGTGAATGAGAGAATATATTTTGTTTAGAAACCCAAATAACCTTTTGCAGTCTTAGCCTTTGTTTGTTTGTATCCTCATCCAAGGACATTTTTTCATTGTTTTAGAGAGGTCGGAAGAGAGAGAGAGAGACAGACAGACAGAGACAGACATTGATGTGAGAGAAACATCAACTGGTTTCCTTCTCATGGGCCCAGATTGGGATTCAAACCTGCCATCTTTTGGTCTATGGGACAATGCTCCAACTCACTGACCCATACCAACCAGAGCTGTTAGCTTTTTCAAAGCAGGAGAATTTTAAAGCTGGATCTGAGAGACTATTAATTTTTTTTTTTTTAGTTTTAACATCTAAGAAATGATTTGGGGTCTTTTTCCTGGTTTTTAGTTCCTTTTCTAGTCTGTGTGAATGGGATTTGGAGCCTAGGCAGTGAAGTGTATGTGCTGCCAAAGCAAGCACTACTATGCAGTTGAGTATAGAAAAATCACAAAGGGATTGGGAGATAGGACACCCCTCTCTGCTCTTGTTGAAATTTGCTTCTCCCAGATGCTCTGAGGGTGAGGGAGAAAGCAGGGCAGACCCAAAGCTATCCGGATTCAGGGAGAAAGCCCTCTCCTGCAATAGCCAGTTCTGCGTTCAGAATGTTTGCTGACAAGTGTGGGCCTGGAAAGGAATGAATACATCCTGCGCAGGGTTTGGGGGAGGAGAGAGCAGAGCATACCACAGGTCCCATCCCTAGAACCATCCAGGGACAGTTCAGGTCCAATTACTGTCAGGTCCAGGGCCTTTGGGGTAGGGGGTTGTAGGTAAGCCCTGGGGAGAGCGAGAGCACTTTTAGGACCTACTCCTTGAAAGGACACAGACCTTAGCAGTACCCCTGAGCCTTAAGTCCCCACCCCCTGAAAGAATGCAGGCCACAAGGAGTGACCAGCACACCAGAGGGTCAGAGCTATTTCTGGCACCCAAGGAGGCATCAGATTCCGGCGTTCAAAGACTGGGGAGGGAATGAGGGTCAAGCCTGAGGCGCCTCCCGGATCTCCAAGCCTGCTGGGGGTCAGGCCTTCGGAGAAGGGCCGGTTTCCCGCCCTTCCTGCCCTCGCCTCAGTTTTCTCCATCCATTTAGGTGCTGGGCAACAGGCCCATCATCCTTGGCAGTTTGGCGGATGCTTCCTGATTCTTTTCATGGCTTAGAAATATCTCGATTTGCGTTCGGCGGAAATCAGAAGGGCCGTACTCACACGATGAGTGGCTAGTTGTGGCCGAGCCAATTCTTGAGCCTAACCACCCCAGGGTTGGTTGGATACGTCTCAGAGGCCCCAAAGCCTGGAGTCAGGCAGGGTGCCCCTCCCCTCCCCCACGCGGCTGGGGCGTGTCCCGGGGCGGACTTGGCAGGCAGGGGGCGGGGCTTAAGGGATGAGGCTTGGCTTTTGGAAGGGGGCGTGGCGGACCAATGAACTGAGCGGCGCGCACAGGGGTGGGGCCTGTGCGCGGGTGCGGCGCGCTGCGGGGCGGTGGACGCTGGCAGAAACGGGCGTCGCGCGGACTGCCGGTCGGCGCCGCCCGGAGCTGGCCGCGGGATTGGCTGCGGTACTCGCGTGTCAGGCGGTTGCTAAGCTCCGGCCGCGCGCCCCGCCCTCGCGCTCGGCGCCCTCTCACCGCCCGGTACGTGCTCGCGCGGAGGCTGCGGTGCGGCGCTCGCGCTTCTTGGGCTCGGCGGTGGCGCCTTCGCGCCGAGTCCCCAGGGAGAGGCGACGGAGGTGTCTTGCGGCCAGGAGGAGCGAGCACCTGCCCGGCCTTCCCGCCGGCGCTCGGTGAGTGCGCCGCTCGACCTCCGCCGCTGAGCCTGGCAGCCCGGGCCCCGTTCCTGTCGCCAGCCGAGCCTCCCGAGGAACACCTGCTGCTGCTCGCTGTTTGGCCCGGGGCGGGGACACAGTCACGGACGTCCTTGCGGGTGAGGCGGCGGCGCGGCCTGGGCAGAACCGCCCCCCTGTTCTCGGTCCCTAAGGCGAATGCCCGGGGCATTCGGTAGCTGGGCCGGGGCAGCACGCCACAACGATGGGCAAGGCCTCAGCCTGGTCCGCGCTCCTGGGAACGCGGGGCCTGCGCGTCAGCCTCGAGCATATGCGGTCTGTGGACTGCCTTTCGGGCTTCCAAAGAGTGTCTCGAGGTCCAGTTGGGCGGAAGTCGGAGGATGGGACGTCGACCCTTCGCAGGAGGCGGGGAAGGGCGCCGCACCCGCTGGGTCCTGAGTTGCTCAGAACCTTGGGCTCACCTTCCTCCCACTCCTGAACACACATACTTGGGCTTTTTTTTTTGGAAGCCTACCTTTTTACATTTCACTTGGATTTTGGAAGACCAGATTCACCGGCATGTGTATTTGGAAAATGTCTCCAAAGAAAATGCTCTCTCGGCTTAAAATCCTTCTGCCATAAATTTCAAGTTAATTTTATACAAACTCAACTGCTAACTTAAAATGTGTGCTTTAATCCATATGGCTTGAAGATATCTTAATATATAAATTGACTTCAGAGTTAGTTTTAATAGTGACCATGAAGTTTGGCTTTGGTGGGAGCAGGATCCTGGGACACCACATTTATAGCCTAGAGTTCTAACTTAAGAGCCCTGCCTGGTGTTTCCCTAAATAAGCAAGTAGAAGTGATTCCTGGCGTGGAACCGAGACTGTGCGGTGTGTCTGGTGTTTATAGGACATAAGTCCAGATAAAGAGTTGGATGTTCTACCAGGTGTTTTGGAGTCTGGTGTGGATGGGATATTGTAACTTTATCAGGTCGTTTTGTGCCTAGTGTTCAGAGACTTGACGCTTTTGGAATGCCTCTATTTTCAGAAAGAATTCAATCTTGGAGGCATAAAAATCTGTAGATAAAATATGAAACAGTTGAATTGAACTTCGTTTGCCTTGCAGCCAAGAAATAAGAGCCCTATGGCCTGCATGCTTATAGGAGGCTGAGGAGCCATTTCTTGCAGATTTGAGAGGGAGTTGGACGTGCAGCAGGATCATGTTCAAAGCCTATGGGGCCCTGTATGGCTGTACTGTGAGCAGTACTGTATAGGCAGCAAATGCCTGGTTAGAAAGCTTGTGTTATGTGCCTCTGTTGAAAGGTGGAGGGCAAGTCTTCACTGTTCTGAAAATTTGATTTGGCACATTCATTCATTCATTTAAACAAATACTTGGCCATATTACTGGCCAAATTCTGTGGTGGGTCCAGAGCACTCATGTTAAAGAGGCTGATCCTGACCTTAAGGATCACAGTTTGGGGGAGAGTGGGGGTCAGGGAACCTGTGGTTGAAGGTGTCTGCCCCCTGAGTGTGCTCACATGGTTCTTTGGGAGCCCGAGGAGAGGGGAAATTCCTGAGCTGGGGCTCGCAGGGCCAGCAAGGTTGGGCACAGGGAACACAAGTACACAAGTGCCTAAAATAGCACCTGAGAGTCCTTCAGCTGACAGTTGGGAAACCTGGGCCTTTCTTGTGCTGAGGAGCTCAAACTCCATATTCAGGGTGCAGGAGCCTAGGGAAGCCTTTGATCAGTGGAGTGGCCTGGTCCAAACCTGTGTTTAGAAGGATCTTGCTGGTGGCCACAAAGGTAGTACCCAGGGACTTACAGTCAGGACCCCTGGCTGTAAGGTCAGCCCGTGGAGGAGAGATGAGGAGGGAGGAGGAGCTGGCTGAGAAGAGGCTGAAGAGGTGGAGCAGAGGGGGTGCCAGGCTGTCTGGGGAGGAGCCTGCAGTCAGGAATGTGAGGTCAGAAGCCTAAGCACAACCAAGAATTTTAACCACCTCCTCTGCGGAGTTTGCTGGTGTCTTTGTTAAACATGGAGAAAGGTGGAGTTTGGAGGGACCCTGAGGCCACTTTGGGATTGTTGTTTAGGTAAGCAGAGGCTAGTCATTTGATTGTTCAAAACTTTGTCACTTGAACTTGGGGCGTTACATTTCTTGTTGACCAGGGCTGGTGCACTGGCCTGTGAAAGTAGATGTGCGTGCATACTGAGGTGGAGGAGAGCACGTTGAGTTCTTTCTCTCACAGTTAGCCCACCCTCCCCTGCGGTCTAGGTCAGTAATACAGTGGACCTGCATCAGCCACAGTTGGAGGCCTGGAGTGTTTCTGCTCTGCTTGCACCATTGCTGATGCTTATGAGAATCCTGTATAGTGGCTGAGGAAACTGAGTCGCAGATGAAGGAATGTTCCCAATGTTGTCATCATGTGGCAGAATTGGGATTTGAACTCAGGTTGGATATTTGGCAGTACCCATCTGCATTTGTGTTGCAACAAACTGACACTAGTAATGGCCTCAGTTGGGTGCTTCTCTGGTGAAGACTGAGCCCAGGTTTCTGGTGGCGGGCAGAATGCCAGGATGGTACAGGGAAGCTGATCAGAAACCCACGTGGAACTCGAGGAACATGCTGTGAGGGACCATTCTCAGAAACCAGGGCTCCTCAGAGCCTTCCTGGGGCTTGTGCATGCTGGTTACTCTGGGCACCAGAATGGAGTAGGCCACGGAGCCTGGGTCCCAGGTTGGGGAGGGCAGGCTTTAGGGGAGCACTGCTTTTGCACTGGTCTTGCAAGAAGGGTTCATGGTTTGATTGGTGAGGGAGTAGTGGCAGGGATGTCACAACTCTGGAAGAAAAAGGTGAGTAGAGGCAAGGGGTGGGAGGTAGAAGACTGGGCATCTTTTCCGTATGTTCTGGAAGGTTGGTTGGATCGGAGCCAGATGTCACATGGAGAAGTTTGGAGTCATGTAGGAAGAGAGAACCTTGAAGATCTTGGAGCACAGCTGTGGTGGGATCAGCTCTTGGCTTTAAGAAGTGAGCCCCAGTGTTAGCGTGGAGACTTGGACAGGAGGCGAGTTGGTTACAGCTTCAGTGGGGAGGCAGTGGACCTGAACAAGGGGAATGGAGAGAGAGAAGGAAGGCCCAGGATGAGTCAACTCAGCAGATGTGAGGGACCCGAGAGGTGCTGGTGTCATCAGCGGTCTACTGTTGTGTGGAAGGGCCAGGGGGTGACAGCAAAAAGGTGGGATGTAAGGCAGCATCAGGCAAGCTCAGGTGAGGACTTGAGAGACTCAGAATAAAGAGGGCCCCTAGACGTAGGAAAGTGGGGAAGGTTTGAGCCTTCGTGGCAGGTGGGCAAGATAAAGTGCTGTCCTTGGGTGAGCAAAAAAGAGTGGAGGAGGGAAAGAACAGGCCATGAGGACTAAGGAGAGGATGGGCTGGGAGCCAAAGGACATGTCCCCTGGGGAAAAATAGGACAGACATTTGACCTGAAGGCTGAGCTGGGCTGGTGGTGAGTCCCTGGAAGTTCCGAGTGGGGCAGTGCCTGTGCCCTTGGCAGGACGGGGTAAGAAGTCAGGAGTACTTGTTTTGAGTGTCACGAGGGTGCAGGTGAAGAGGATAGTCTGGTGGCGGAGAGCAATGCTGAGGAAGGGATGAACTGATGGAGGAAAGCATGATTTGTTGACTCACTAGGGTGGGGTAGGGGACCACTGTGTTTTAAAATGCCTGCAGTTGGGGAGACTCCAAACCATGCAGGGGTGATGGGGATTTAGGCTGCATTCACTGAAAGAATTGCCATTGGCTGGAGGACTTGACCTGTGTTGGGCACACTAAGGGTGGCCCATGATGTTGCAAATCAGAGCCCTTTTACCTGTACTTGCCTTTTCGAGTTGGGTTTACTTCGGTCATAGTTTTCTTGATAAGAGGCTCTCACAAGTAGCCTAGTGGAGTGGCAAGTTGTGATAGACCCATTTTGTGGGTGGGCAAGAATAAAAGTGAGGCTTTGTGATTTTTTTCCTAGCCTGTAGAGAAAGTCAGCAATGAGAGGTTTGTTCAATATCCAGGTTCCCAGGTGTGCTGTTTAAATTTGAACCATGCAGAGTGTGACTGCTTGGAGGCATCCAGAATATCAAGTAAGAACTGCTGGTGTGAACATTTGAGGGGCTCAGATGGGGACCAGAGAAAGATACTATGGAACCTCAAGGGGTCTCAGAGTGAGGATGGACGCAGGTAGTGTGTTCTTTGGTGTGTCCTGTGTGTTAGTCAAGAGTTTCTCCCTTGCCCTGGCTGGTGTGGCTCAGTGGGTTGGAGTGTCCTCCCATACACCAGCAGGTTGGGGGTTCGATTCCCAGTCAGGGCACATAACCTAGGTTGTGTGTTCAATCCCTAGTCAGGGTGCATATGGGAGGCAGCTGATCGATGTTTTTGTCTCATATTTGTGTTTCTCTCTCTCTCTTTCTCCCTCCCCCTTTCTCTGTCTCAAATCGAGAAGTACATTTAAAATTTTTTTTCTCCCTCCTTTTTTGGAGTAAGTTTTCTTCTCCATGTTCAAGAGTGTTTTCTGCACCTTTGCCAGTGTTGCTGCGCTCTTGCTTCCAAAGCCCCATCTTTTTCTGCCCTTCCCGTGTTGACACTGCAGGCGTGGAGTAAGGCGATGGTGGTTTTCAGTGTGCAAGTGATTACTCTGCTCACTTACTGTGGGTCTTCGCGTGGCCATGCCTTTGGGTGTTAATTTGAAGCAGTTTTCCTATGAGTTGCAGAACCTGCTTTACCTTTTGACTGGCCCTCTCCTCTCTGATCATTAGTAATACTGCTCAGATAGCAATTTCTATAAATAGGATTTTAGAGTAGTTTACAAAATTATACCAGCCAGAGG